CAGCAGCAGGGCCTGTGCGGGCCCCTCTCCAGTCAAGACCCTGCTGGGGCCGCAGACCGGACCTGCTCGCCTGCTGGGCTGCGGGTTGGTGTCCAGCCTCGGCCGAGCCTGCGTTGGTTCTGTCGTTGGTTCTGTCGGTGGCTCGGTCGCTCATTCGGCTTAGCTTTTGGTCCGTTGATTTGAGTTCGCGCCCTGCCAGCCATTTTAGACTCTGGAAGTTCACTTCTGGAAATGCGGTTTGATGAGGTGAAGGGGCAACCACGTTACTGCGTCTTCAGAGCATGTGATTGGCTGGCGTCTGGAGCGGGGAAGCTCGGGTATTGCTGAGCCTGGTGTTGACACAGAGGAGGGGCCGTAAGGATGTCACTGCATCTAATCTGTGAAGACCAGCGCCTCTAACGCCAGACTCCTGGCAGCGAGCCTGGCGGTTCCATGTTGCCGGGCCCTGGCGGATTTCCTTGTCTCACTGAGCCCAGCTCCTCCGCCCCAGCTCTGGGGCGGCCTCTGCCCTGGACTCCCCGTGCAGCCCGGGCTCCGGTGCCGACCCTATCCCCTCCCCCGCCTCCAGCTAGGATGTGACGTAGCCTGAGTCATGGCCTGTGTGCACTGTTTACTAAGGAGCTTTACGGTGCTGGCCACTCTACTCGGCATTCAGTGCGTTATTTTAAAGAAATTAGCTTGGTTTACAAGTGAAAGAATGGGTTGTATTAGGCACCCTTCCCGTGCTGATGGATCCTCGCTGACCCCCACCCCACCCCCCAGTAGCCTCTGTCCTCAGGGTTCAGCCAGCCTGGCACATGGGGGTGCACAGGAACGTTACTGAGCCAATGGCCCAGGCCCAGGGAGCTAGGGAATTGCAGGCAGATTCCCAGAAGCCCTTCCCTTGGGTCGCCACATACCCGACCATTTCCTGTGCCGAGTGGAAAGGAAACTGAAAGTGTCGGTTCGAGTGTGCGTGTCCATCTTCCTGCAGCTTCACCACCCCCGAGGCCCTGAAGCCCCGGCCTCGGTGTGCGGACTGGGCCAGCGTCGTGGAGGAGGATGAAATGAGGACCAGGGTGAACAAAGAAATCGCAAGGTACGTGCTCAGGCCACTGTGGAGGGCCAGCGGGGTTCGGTTAGAGCCACGGTTCTTAAAAGGCTGGTCTCTGACCAGCTGGTGAGCAGCTGCTGGGAGCCGGGTAGAAATGCAGATT